GAGGGCTCAGATCTTTGCAACTTCTGTGGACAATGCCCACATCGTTCTGCAGATTGACAATGCCCGTCTTGCTGCTGATGACTTTAGAGTCAAGTATGAGACAGCTGGCCATGTGCCAGTCCATGGAGAGCGACATCCATGGGCTCCGCAAGGTCATCGATGACACCAATGTCACCCGGCTGAAGCTGGAGACAGAGATCGAGGCCCTCAAGGAAGAGCTGCGCTTCATGAAGAAGAACCATGAGGAGGAAGTAAAAGGACTACAAGTCCAGATTGCCAGCTCTGGGTTGACCGTGGAGGTAGATGCCCCCAAATCTCAGGGCCTCGGCAAGATCATGGCGGACATCCGGGCCCAGTATGATGAGCTGGCTCAGAAGAACTGAGAGGAGCTGGACAAGTACTGGTCCCAGCAGATTGAGGAGAGCACCACAGTGGTCATCACGCAGTCCGCTGAGATTGGAGCTGCTGAGATGATGCTCACGGAGCTGAAACGTACAGCGCAGTCCTTGGAGACGGACCTGGACTCCATGAGAAACCTGAAGGCCAGCTTGGAGAACAACCTGAGAGAAGTAGAGACCCGCCACACCATGCAGATGGAGCAGCTCAACGGCACCCTGCTGCACCTGGAGTCTGAGCGGGCACAGACCCGGACAGAGGGCCAGCACCAGGCCCAGGAGTACGAGTCCCTACTGAACATCAAGGTCAGCTGGAGGCTGAGACAGCCACCTACTGCCGCCTACTAGGAGATGGAGAGGACTTCAGTCTCAGTGATGGCCTGGACAGCAGCAGCTCCATCCAGACCATCCAAAAGACCACCCGCAAGATAGTGGATGGCAAACTGGTGTCTGAGACCAATGACACCAAAGTTCTGAGGCATTGAGGCGGCAGGAACAGGCGTCCTTCGGGGAAGCAGGAAGTCAATAAAAAGTTCAGAGGTCATTGAATGTCAAAAAAAAAAAAAAGAATTAAATATCATTTTCTAACTTCACTTTCTCTAATTCCTGGTATAGACCCCTCCAAGGTGGAAAGAGGAACACCGTTGAGGCAGAATGGGTGTGTTACAAAGTTGGTTATTGAAAAATGTTTCAGTTTCTGCACAGTACACAGCTTGGAAAACCTTCACTAACACTCTCATGTGAAGAGAAATAGAATGCTAATTTCCCACAGATTCATTATCACCATGAAATGAAATTTTGGAGTGCATCACAGGTAAACAAAATGTGCAAATGTAAAATTCAACAATTCAAGTTTTAGCTGCCTGGTGTTTTTATACCTCTGTCAACAGGACCCTCATTAAAAAATTTTTGCCATTATTTTACTTGAAAGGAAAACTGAAGAGAATATTACAATATCCAGTATGGAGAGATGCCCTTTCCAGCTAACTTTTATGAAGGGAGCCCATTTGTATATATGTATTTCTAAATAGTTTTTTTCTGATCACAAATATTTATGTGCTGGGTACTGTACTAGGTCCTGGGGATACAGTTTCGGAAAAACTCACACTCAGTCTTATACTCATGGAGTTTACAGTCTAGTGGTAGAGGGCTGCATTAATTTTTAAAACAAGTATCAAATTACATCCTAAAATAATGCCTCTGGGAAGAAAATGTGGTTTTATTAAAATAAAATACAATGGACATCATGTTCTGGGATGTTAAAGAAGGTTTCTCGCCCAAAATTGGATTTGGGTAGAAAGCTGAAGAATAAGTAGAGTAAATAAAAGGAAAGCAACACCAGGTCTGACAAAGGCTTAACATCTTGGATCTACAAGGAACTCAAATGTGCTGAAAAGAAAAAAACAAACAACCCCATTATAAAATGGGCAAAAGATATGAACAGACAAAGGAAGACATCCAAGCAGCCAACAGACACATGAAGAAATGTTCAACCTCACTAATCATCAGCGAGATGTAAATCAAAACCACACTGAGATACCACCTAACTCCAGTCAGAATGGCCATTATCAACAACTCAAAAAATAACAGCTGCTGGAGAGGGTGTGGCGAAAAGGGAACACTTGTACACTGTTGGTGGGAGTGTAAACTAGTGCAATCTCTGTGGAAAACAGTGTGGTGATTCCCAAAAGCTTTAAAAATCAACCTCCCATAAGACCCCACAATCCCCCTACTGGGAATATATCCTGAAGAACTCAAATCACTCTATAAAAAAGATACCTGCACACATATGTTTATCGCAGCATTGTTCACAATAGCAAGAACCTGGAAGCAACCATGCTGCCCATCAAAAGAGAACTGGATTAAAAAAATGTGGTACACATACACGATGGAATACTACGCAGCCATAAAAAAGAACAAAATCATGAATTTTGCAGCAACCTGGATGGAACTAGAGTCTATATACTGAGTGACCTCTCACAGAAACAAAGATCCGAGTATCACATGTTTTCACTCATATAGTGGACCTTGAACATCCAATGTAATACTATAAGAAAATGACCGACAGTAGTGGGAAACTATGGGGTGGGGAGGGAGAGGGGATTAACAGTAGTAAATATCTGTCTGGGGATGGGGAAGCACCTCTTATCAACAAGGTTGCCTGAACGAAATGTACTTGTATACCTAACCCTTAACTGTACCCCACAATATCATAATAAAAAATATTGATTATAAAAAAATAAATAAATAAAAGGAAAGCATATGCAAAGACCCAGTGGCAGGAATAACAAGAAGTCTTGAAAGAAGGCCAGAGGAACTGGCTTGTCTAGAGCAAGGAGGAGTGTGATGCCAGATACTGGAGAAGGGGCATAGGCCAGACTAGGCAGGCCTTGAGAGCAAGCTAAGAATTCTGGTCTAAGCACCATGGGAAGTCATTGAACAGTTTCAGCAGGACCTGGTGACATGATCGGGTCTTCACATTTTATAAAAAGGCCTTTGTTTTCACATCTCTTTATTTCTTCCATAATTATATGAGCAATTCAAACAATAGTATTTGTTTTGCTTGAATTATCCTGATCATTGCAAACACATACGTTCTTTTGGAAAGTTGTCAGTCTAGCTTGCTCCATATCAATATCTTTTACTCTCATTTGGATAAAATTTGATTTGTACTTCTGGACACCGACAGTATTTACCCAACAACTAAATTCCATACTTGGATGTAATGGGGGAGTGAACAGAATTGTGTTCCCACATATTAAGTTTGCAGGTGAAATTGCACTTTTCTATTGGAAAGGGTGAGAACAACAGCCATTGTATCATCAACAGTAGGTCCAAATAGAATTGTCTGGTGGCATCTTCAGGGCCTCTCTAAAGTATGTCTATAGTCCAAATTTCCTAGCATATCCAAAAATGGATTAAGTTGCTTTGACAGGCTCTATTTTTTATGAACCTCTTTGGCTATTACTTACTATGTTATTTTTCTCAAGGTGCTCATGGACTGATTTATGATTTCATTTAGGATTTTGACTGGTAGTTTGGATACGCTAACTAGCCCAGCTTTTCCCGGATCTGCTTTTGGCTGCTTTATCTCCAACACTAAATCAGCCTGCTTAAATTTCTCTGGTACATAAGTCTCTACGACAAATACTAGTATTGCAGGTACGTCCTGCCTTAGCCAGTTCGTCGAATATGTTCAAATGAATCTCGCCCAGCTCTGCTGATTTATAAATATTTAAATTGTATAAGTATTCTTTTACCTGCCTCTTATTAATTCCATTTCTTGATATTCCCAGAGACTCATTAATATTTATCTTACTGAGCTCCTGCTTCCTTCGTTCTTTGTGCCAAAGGCTGAGACAGAATAGTAGCTCCATAGTCATTCTCCTTTGCGCCTTTCATTATAGTCTCTCACCTCTGGTTTTAGCAAAAGTAGCTTTTGTTTCCTTGTCTTGTTGTCTTCCTAGAAGACTTTGCCATAATTTCGTACTTCTTTTCCTTCTCTAATTCTGCCCATTTAGCCACTGGCTCTTGGAGTCATATTTTCTTCATTCCGTCTTCTTCTCCCCAAACTCTACACAATTGGATTTTTGCTTTTTCCCTCCCATTAAAAAGGAAACATTCATGCTTTAAGCCTTGAGTATCAGAATACGTGTGCAGTTATATAACAACACCCAGCAGCCACTTGTGTGTTCTGTTTTTTAGAGGACATGCTTGAATGCCCACACGCATGTTTTTTCTTTCAGTAAAACAACACAAGTAGTAATCATTCAGTTCCTGAAAGATGGTTGGATGCAGTCCATTAATTTCAGAGCAGGTCCAGAAAATTGATCTGAAACAAACAGCAAGCGAATATGAAACCAAGACAAGGGATTTCCAATAACAAAAAAGTAATAATGAAATGATTCCTGGAAGAGTCCAGGAATCTACCTCATCAGAAACACACTGAAAATTGCAATGTGTTTTCTAAAGAGTACATACTGCATACCACACACACACACACATACACACACACAAAAAGAAAAGCAAAGGTATCACTACATTTATGCAAAATTCAAGAACAGGCAAAACTGAACTGTGGTGACGGAAGTCAGAATGGTGGTTTCATCTGGGCTTAAATATTGACTGAAAGGAGCTCAAAGATGCTGGAAATGCTTTTTATCTTGGTCTAGGTGGTGGGTACATGGATGTATACATAGGTATATGTGCACAAGTTAATCAAGCTGTGCACTTGCGATTAGTGCACTTTGAAAAAACTAGGGCATTTTACCGCATGTTTTATAAGTAAATATATTATTTACTTTAAAAAGTAAAACAAAACATCAACGTGTTTACAAAGAAGCTGTAATAAATATTTTTAATAGCTATGGACTATGTCTGAGGCTATCTGAAATATTGTTGGCTGGGCGCAGTAGCTGAAGTCTGTAATCCCAGAACTTTGGGAGACCGAGGTGAAAGGATTTCCTGATCCCAGAGGTTCAAGACCAGCCTGGACAACTTGGCGAGCCCTCGTCTCCACAATGTATCAAAAAATTACCTGGGCATGGTAGGGTGCACCTGTAGTTCCGGCTACTTGGAAGGCGAGGGCGGAAGGATCGCCGGAGCTCAGCAGGTCAACGCTGGGGTGATGAACACCCCACTGCACTCCAGCCGGGATGACAGAGTGAGACTCTGACTCAAAAAAAATAAAAATAAAAAAAAGAAATATTGTTGTTTTTAAAATTTAGTATATGCCCACATAAATGTGTTATTTCCTCAGGAGGTTGGCAGAACAAGAATGATTGCGGCTTCCATTTCCTGAATGGCTGCAGTGCGGTAAGCATTGTATCCATAGCTTGTCATTGCTGTGCAGGGAAGGCGTAATTACTTCCGTTTTCAGATGAGGACATGGAGTCTGAAAGATCTCAAGTATTTGCCAAAGAACACATAGTTAAAGAGAAGAAATTAGAGAGTGAAACTCAAGTTTCTAAAACTCCAAAGTCTATGGTATACTTTTCCTCACTCTATGTGGTGCCCAGGATTCCTAGATGACCATGTGTTGGTTGGTGTTTTTCTTAGTCGTTTTACTATAGGCAAGATACTCTGCTATGTGTGTCTTTCAAATATTCTTATCTCTTATTTTAGGAAATAAGTGAATGTATAATGTATATACACTGAAATGAGTTATAAATAATATTAGCTGATATTCATGTGGTATCTAGAATGTGTCTGATTCTATCTCAAAAGCATCACCTAAATGAATAGGCACAGGAAGTCTGGAAGGTAAATATATATGTGTTATAAGTGTGTACACACATATTGACTTACCCCATTTTACAGATTAGAACACTGAGATTCTCAAAAGTTAAAAGATTGACTAGCTAGTAAATTTCATCCTTTGGCAGTCTGACTTCAGAGCACACGTACTTTCCCAGTTCATATACGGCATATTAATGATTTTTAGAGAAAGTAACTGAAAGAAGTAGACTGATCAATTTTTTGAAAT